TTCTATCGACCTCCTAACTGATTATACGTAGTGCCTACCTTTCAAAAAAATAAAAAAAGATATGATAAGATAATAATATCCTTTTGAATCGACCAAAAGCTTGACAAAATTGTACTTAAATTAGTTTAAATATTTTTTAAATATAGTATGATAAGATATTAATAACCTTTTGAATTTAGGTTTTGCGTGAATTTTTTTTAAAAAAATACTTTATACTATATTAAAAATATTCATATGCTCTATATTAGTTAAATTGGACCTTTTATTAAATTTTTCTAAAGATTGTGCATGATTTTATCCTGACAAATAAAAGTGAGCAGAGATAGTTTATTTCTTAATTTTCTAATCTTTTGTTGGACAAAACACTAGTTAAGAATACTTTAGCTCACATTTTTAAAAATTAAATGACCAATTGGGAAATATTTTTTAAGATTATTAATTTAAGAAATAAAATTAAAAATCAACTTGAAATAGAATTAGTGTGCGCCGAAACTTGTCAACAAATTTCCTACAATAATTGAGCATCAACATAAGTGGCCCATACAAGCCCTCGCAATAAGTAGCTCATTTACCTTAATTTAAATTTTATTTTTTTTAGAATTATGTAAATAAACAAATATATATACTAGTTAATTAACTAATATAGTTATAATTTGAATTAATTATAGCTTGCAATTTAATTTTAGCTATATTTTCGTCGCTTCTCTCCTCTCTTCCCCTCTCTTGCCTCTCTCTCCTCTTTTTTACATATATACATGTAAATTATCAAATACAAATTATACATATAAGTAAACAATTATATGAAAAAAATACAAATATAATTAACCTCTCTTCACTCTCTGTCATCTCTCGTTCGGCTCTCTCCTATCTCTTCCCATCTAGCTCGCATCTCTCCCCTCTCTCAATATCGCTCGCCAGATATACAAATATATATATATACTAATTACATATATACAATAATTTTGACATATATACATAGTCAATTCAACAAATATACATATATAATTCGTCTCTCTGCCCTCTCTTGCTCGCCTCTCTGGCTCTTGCTTGCCTCCCTCCTCTCTCTAAGTAGCTATAAATCATAATTAATAAAGTATGATTATAAAACATAAAGAAACTATTTTTGTGTGACTACAGTCTAGGTATGAAAATTCCTTTTTTCCCTACAAACTTCTCATTGCGTTTGCTGACTTTGTTTTGAACTTGGGTCACTTTTAAGCCCAAGCATGTTGGTACCCTTTTTAGTCGATAAATGGGCTCTGCTCATATTTAATTCTTTTTAAAAAAAAAAAAAGAAAAAAAAAGAAGACTTTACTTTTGCATTTGTTTTTTTTTAAATTATTATTAAAAGTAATTATTTTATTTCAAGAAAACCAATTTATTTTTTCTTTTCTAACTAGAAAAAAATATGAACGCTGCAGTAAGACTTTATTTTAAGCTCGAGAGACGTATGAAGCGAATTTAAGAAATATTTATAATAATTGATGTACAGATATTTACACCAATTTATTTTAATTAATTAATTTTATAAAATAAAATATATAATCATGATTAAATGATAAAAATTTGTGTATTTCAACATATGTCAAATAGTATTGAATTGTTCATCAAAATCAAAAAGTCTCAGTGGTTACGTTATTGCTTCAATAAATAAAGGTCCCCTTTGCTATTTCTTCTCCTTTTCCTCTTCTTTTTTTTTTTCCGTTTACTGTTCTTTTTGTCTTTTGATTTTTGAAGTGGAAGTTAATTTAAATTAATTTTTAAAAATTCCAGTTCTTGAATCTTTCGTTTTATTTTTCTTATTCATAATTTTTGTATAAATACATTATTGGCGTTTTTCACCAAAATTTTGGATACACGTGCTCAACTTTTTCTCACCACTATCATTTGAAGGAGTATAAATTAATTGTTAGAAAAAATCTTCAAAAAATAAGATTATGGCTGGCTGGCTAGTTTTTTTTTTTTTCAGATAAAAATAAGTTTATGAAATTTGCTAAATCAGATAACATACTGCCTACTAATTCGTACTTGCACAAATAAACTTGATACCTATAAACACATGCTCTATATGCAATATGGGTAGGAAATAAATGATAGGCCATATATTATTGTGTTTTTCACCAATTACCTAAATTAATATAAGTCTCTTTCGAAAAAGAAAAAAAAAAGAAAAGAGAAAGGTAGCTACAAAAATCCAAGTGGCTCTATAAAAGTGGTTACAAAAAGTCATACCATGGTGCCAATATAAAAATCCCAAGTGACTTAATTTATATAGTCGGAGTAATAAATAACGAAAAATTATCTAAATACATATTTTATTTTATTATTATTTTAAAATTATCTAACATTGAAGAAAATTTCAAAAATTTCTCTTCGATACATCACTTTTCTCTCGTTGATACATTCTTATCTCTCTCTCAGATACACCTTTCTCCTTTCTGATATATCCCTTATTTCTCAAATTCATTCCTCATCTATGTATCTAGATGTTTATTGATGTACCGGAAGATTAGTAGTGTATTCGGATGTTCTATCCCCTCTCGTACATCCCTCACCTATACATCTGAAAGTTCAGTGATCGATGTATCCATAAGTCTATTGATGCATTCGAAAGTTTAGTGATGTATCAAAACTAAATGTCTTATCTCATCTCATAAATCACTCACCTACGTATCTGAAAGTTAGTGATGTATCCAAAGGTCTAGTAATGTATTCGAGATCCATATATTTTAAAGAATTTTGTAATTTAGAAAAGAATAGGGAAATAATGTAATAAGCTCTTATAATTAACTATGAGATTTATGTAAGTTATACAAATATAAGTTAATTTTGGGCCTGTTTAGTCATGTGAGATAAAAACAACGATTCAAAATTATGATAAAAAATAGTATAAGATTAAGTTAAAGTTTTATTTGGCATGCAATTTGAATTTTTTGCTCATAAACATAAAAACTCATAAGTTGTAAAAACTATTAAAATTGTCTTAATTTTTTATACAATCATATCAATATGCAAAAGTTCATAATAAAAGTATATTACACTATCACAAAACTATTTTTAAACACATCACTAGATCGAACTTTAGTTCAATGAAAAATAAGACTAAATATGAGTTGTATTTTACCACTCTTTAACCTCCCCATATATATATATATATGGATTATAAACAACCTCTTTTCATTGAGCATGCACTTATCGATATAAATAATTCAAGTATTGATAAAAGTAATAATATCAGCTATAGATTTGATTGGTGAGAATAATAATTGTATTCAAAATATATGGCTCGAAAGTTGATAAGAGTAATAGTTTATAATTACATATGAAAATAAACGGTTCACAAATGTAAAATGGTTTTTTTACGATATATAAACTTATAAGTAAATTTTTATATTTTAAAAAAATATAAAATCATGATATAAAATTCTCAAATAATGTTTTTGGTAAATTTGACATTTCAAATCATAAGATAAGAAATGAAAACGCTCTTATGATTTTAAATCATGAGATGAATCGCATGTCCAAATGTCTACTTAGTTATTCCATATTTTATCCTGCATAAGATAATACACAATTTTCTCATAACTTATATGTGTAATATACGTGTTTCTAGTTGCCAATCAAACATCGTATTAATTTTATATACAAATAACTTGATCTACCCACAATTGTATAACCTGTGCAAATATTAATATACATGAATAAGTTGTCTTTTTAATGACTATCAAACGATCCCTTGAAATTTATTAAAAGTTGAATGAATTAAGTTATGATCTGATTTTTAATTCATATCAACCAAAATTGCATTAGCTCAAATAACTTTTGAATGAATAAATAACTCGTCCGTCTATTAACTCTAACTCATTTTAACATGTCCAAATTCAACTCAACTAACCAACCAATTTACACCCATACAATCTAATACATTCTTGTAACAATCTCAGGTATTCAATGTTCCAGAACTTTGGCATTACAATATTAAAACAGATTCTGAAGTATTTGATCATTGCCAAATTAAATTAAGCATATAAAAATGGTTATAGTTCACTAGTCTATGTTTTAATCAGAATAGTTTTACCCCTAACAGAAATCCATAATGTAGGGAAATTAATTGAATAACATGGTGAATGTATGTATATAACAACAGAAAAGATAACACTTTTAATCTGCCTCCTAATTATTAGAGTATCATTTATTAGTTAATCATTATTGTACTGACTGTTGGCTCTCTTTTTTAACCTTTTATAGGTGGACACATTTTATCTTGTATGGTCCTTTATGGTATTCTTTTTAATTAGTATAGCAGAAACACTATTTTTGGGGAAAATAGTACAATACATTAGGCTCATTTTGCCACATTATTTGATTGCGTACTGAGTTTAATGTATTAATTTTACTTTTACTTCTATTCTATAAGCACTAATTGAAGAAAATTAATGTACTCGTATTAATGATTTGCCTTAATTTTTTTCAATATGTGTTTGAGAGGCTAGGTAAGGTGTGCCTACGGCTAGGACTAGTTTTTATTAATAAAGAAAAAAAAAGATTTTAAAGAGAAAAGTACGAGCAAGTTTCTATGTCTTATTTTACTAATTCTAATGAGGTAACAAATATCTATTTAATATATATATATAAAGAAAATATGAGCTAGAAAAAAATTTAAATATTTTATAATTTTTGCTGAGTGAATTCGTAATATACCCTATAATAATATTATAAATAAAAATATTTTATAATTTTCGCTGAGTGTCAACTTATATATATATATATATTTTTTTTACAATTGATCTTCAAAAAAATCATTTTAATTTTGATAAAGTACTTTATAAATATATATAATTTATCTTATATCAATATTTAAAATATATGTTACTATTTTTTTTATATTTTATATCAAATCAAATTATATTTACGCAATAACATTATAAACTAAAAAGTTTATCAGTGTGATCCCAAAAAAAAAAGAAAAAAACATGTATATAAAGTGAGTAGTAATTAAACAAGATAGAGTGTTCGTAAATGCCCTTTATCTTCTTGCTTTTTGACTGTGGCAATTGTAGTGGTTCTTTTGCTCAAGATTCAAAACATTGAACACTTTCAGCTCATTCAATATGTTTGATTAGTTGCCCCAAAAAGAAAGGTTATTAAAGTTTCTATTTTCATTTCTTCCTTAGCTAAATTGTCTCAAAAAAGAGGATTTTTTGTTGTTGCATAACCTCGTGGAACTGTGTGATTGCTTCTTGTTGTTTGTCTTCTTATTAAGTTGAATACCAAAAGATCGATGACCCTTTTCTTATTGCAAGCAAATGGGGTAACCCTTCTTATTTGAGCCCAAGATTTGCTCATCTGAAGTTCAAATCTGGCGTTTTCTTCAGGTCAGAATTGACTTTTTTTTCTTTAATAATGGGTATTGGCTTTTTGTTAACTTCATTCAAGATTTGGTTGGTGTTGTTGTGCTATTCTGTAAGAAAGTTTTGATTTTTTTTGTATGTTACTTATATATAGATGGTGTTTCATTGTATGAGCATAGATCAATACTTACTTAGAGAAGTTTTGAATGTTGAGGAATGGACAGTGTATTGTGATTGACTCTTGTGCTGACAAAAGAGTCAAATGGTTAGTTGAGCTTGTGCTGAATTTGCTATTATTGAGGATATTTTCACTGTTCTTGATGTACTAAGATGGAGTAACTGTCTGTTCTGGTTCTTATAAGCTTTCCCTCATTTTTAGCTGTCTATAGTTATAAGAATTTTTCACCATATTGATTGAGTTGGATAAGGCCTGTAAGGTAGTAGTATTGTAGCGTGCTGAATTCAGTGAACGTTGTATTGGTTACTTTTAGCTAGAGTCTCTTTGAGATACTTTAGAGTTGCCTGGTTACTATTATGGCTTCGATTAGAAGAACGTTGTCACCAGTGCCTCGTCCTGGAAGCGCTATGAATGGAGAAGTATGTTCTGTAGCCTCTCCACTGTCCAAGTCTTCATCATGTACCAATAGTAATACACCAACTGGTGCATCACTTTCGTCTTTTGGTTCATTGGATTATGCCATCTACAAGGTTCAGACATTTCTAGTTGGTCTTTTGTCACGACGATCTTCTAGGCCCTTAGAAAGGTCAAAGTTGAAGGGGCTCATTTGGAGGAGAGCTATTCTGCAATTCTTTTTCTGTTTTGTTCTTGGAGTATTTATTGGCCTTACTCCATTACTAAATTTGTCAACAAATTTTATCTCTAAACATCAAGCTTTATCCTTTGAGGTCCTCCAGCCAGAAGAAAATGCTCGATCATATGATGTATCTAGAAATGTGACTTCAACCACTGAGGACTTGACTATCATGGATAATTCGACATCAGAGCCTAATTTAGTACATGTTGAACTGAAAGAAGACATTACCTACAATGCCTCCTTTAATCAATTACTTGACCAAGATCCGATAGTGTCCCGTAAACTTTTGATTATTGTGACTCCTACAGAAACCCGTCCATTTCAAGCATACTATCTAAATCGTCTGGCGTATGCATTAGAGTTGGTGCCTTCTCCTTTATTATGGATAGTTGTTGAGATGGACTCCCAATCTGTTGAAACTGCTGATATATTGAGAAGAACCGGAGTAATGTACAGACATCTTGTGTGCAGCAAGAACTTAACTGATGTGAAAGAGAAAAATGTGCATCTAAGGAATGTGGCACTCTCTCACATTGAAACACACCACCTTGATGGCATCGTCTATTTTGCTGATGAGTACAACATATACTCCGCTGATGTCTTCGAGCAGATGAGACAGATCAGGTACTTTAATTGTTAAATTTTCTTACTTTTGTGGTGTTAGCAACCTTGTTTACTTTTGTGATATAGAGCAAGGTGGAAGCAGTTTCTTTAGTCTATATCCTTATGGAACATTACCGATGTTCAAATTAGTTGATATTTGCATTTTCACTTTTTCTTTGTTTCTTGCTTAAGTTATTATTTTTCTTATAGATCTTTAAATCCTAATCAGGTGTCTTTCGTACTCCTATGGCTTCTTGATCACTCTGATCTTGGGTGCCTCTCACTGTATCTTTTTTATTTTTTTGGTAATAACCGTTTGGTCTATGACTCTAAAAGCAATGAATCATACCTCTAGGTAGTGTGCTGAGTCTATGATTCCATGTATCAACGTTCTTGATAGAAAAATTGTTGTATGCAGCCGGATCGGGACATGGATTGTGGCAAGACTAGCTGAAAATAATAGGAAAGTTATCTTGCAGGGTCCAATCTGTAACGGCTCTCAGGTTATAGGTTGGCATACTGAAGGTAGAACAAAAAGATTCCAGAGATTCTATGCAGAAATATCGGGATTTGCATTCAATAGTACGATACTTTGGGATACAAAGAGGTGGCACCGACCAACACTAGAACCTATAAGGCAGTCTAACACAGCCAAAGCTAGTTCCCAAGTGAGTTTTGCCTCTGTCCTGGATCTCTGATGATTGTTACTTTAAATAAGATATTCTGTTAGTGGATAGTTCCACATTCACCACAGCTAATGTGATGGTGTACCTTCAAGAACATGACTAGTGAAACTGAACTTGAAGTTGGAGCACCGTGCCCAATCACCCTTGAGAGAAAGGGAAGGGCTATTACAGCTATTATCTGCATTACCATATATGAAAATGTCAATCCTAATGATTTTATTTACAGGTGAGCACATTTATCGAACAAATGGTGGAAGATGAAAGCCAAATGGAAGGCTTACCAATTAACTGTTCAAGAATCATGGTTTGGCAATTCAACACGGAGATATTGTACCCATATCCTCATGAATGGCTGGTGAAAAATTACTCAATAACCAGTACTTCAGCTGGATGACAATTTTGACATGCAGATAGATTCTTGAGCATTGATAAGGTGAGTGAATAATGTCTATGTTTTCTCGTGGAGTTCCTTGTTCTTTTACTGTCATCTTTCTGTTTCCAGCTTCTATTAAAAAACAATATGGACATTTCCAGTTGTTATTCATCTGTATTATATTTTTTCTTTTATGAGGTGTGTGCTTGTCGTGCTTGGATAAATAATTCCTTTCTTCCACTTTCCCCTCTCCCACGGTCTGTTCAAGTTGCTTCCATTTCTTTTTGATTGTTAAAAGATTATGTTATAGAGAATCCAGCAACTAGAAGATGCTGTCGAATATTTACATAGGAAACATCCCGCTGAATATTAAGAGTTCAAAAAGTCTATCATGGCCTCTGTATCACATGTAATAGCCATGTTACCCCCCATCCCCTCCAAAAAAAAAAGTAACGAGATAATCTGTTTTTAATGCTTACTACAGATTCAGTTTGTTTTAAAAAATTCTTACATTCCTTTCCTTCTTATTGGTCCACCAAACAGCTGAACATATTGAGTTCCAAATTTTCAATTTGTCCTTTTCCATCCCTTTAATGTACCAATGTTGCAGGCTTGCAGCTGCTCCTTTGTTGTCCTAGGCATAGTCCAATCGTTTCCACAATGTTCTGGATGAAGTCCCAGATTACTTGGTGAATGAGCAGTGGAGGAAGAGGTGATATATGTCCTCATTTTGTCTTCCAAACAATATGCATCTGCGTGTATTCACTCCTCTTTTTGAAGATTCTGATGAGTTACCTATGCTCTTAAACACACTATCCAAGTAAAGCATTCCACCTTCAAAAGTGCTTTATTTCTCCAAATACACTTCCAAGGCCAGTGGAGAATGGTGGGAGAAGTTCCCTTAGGTGCTTGTAGCAATTTTCATTTTCATTTTACTTTTTGCTTCTCCAAATACGCATCACTTTGCTGTTTTTTCCTGTGACTTTTATATACTAGTGACGACATCATAATCATCATCATTCTTAAGTAGTTTGTTAAATCACATACTGAAAAACCTCGAAGTCAAGTCACAATTGGCACTTACCCTTGGTATTAGGAAAATTATAGGTATCGACTTTTTCTATACCAATCTACTGAATTCAGTCCTCGTTCTCCTTGATTATGAGTGTTTTTTTTTCTTTCCTGCCATATGATATGCATAGCAAGAAATTGAGCTGCTTAGAACAGCTTAGATCATAGCACCTGCTTTTTTGCTACCTAAATTATCCTCTGAAGCCTTAGATCCAAAAGGCTGCTCCGTTGCTTCCTAAATTTCCCTATGAACTTCCACTCACTTAGAGTAATGTGACATGGCATTGGGTTGGGTGGGGTGGGGTGGGGGGAGTAGATTGAGTTTTTGATGTCATGGGGGCTGCTCTGCCATATGCTCGTTTGGTTCCATTTATGCCCTTCCAATTTGGTTTACCTTATTCCTTTTTGTTGCACATATAAGTTTGTGGTCTTCCATTTTTTATTTCTTTTTCTTTTGCCCTTGAGTTCTGCAGTGACTGATTACTTTTTATGTAATTCATATGTTTATTGTGTTTAAATATATTACACACAATATAATTAGTATTGTATCCATTTTGTTTCCTATGGCGACATTTGAATAGATGCAGAGTTTAAGGAAGAAAGAAATACTTTTCTCACATAAGCTAAAAATATATATAATATACCAAAAGTAGTAGCTATTTCTAATTGGCTTCTTTGTATTAATACAATTCATATAAGACCATGCCATTAAGGGTGCATTTGTTATGGAGGAAAAGAAAATAATTTCTAATTTTCCATGTTTGGTCTGCCAACATTTTTGGAAAGCAGTTCTTTGGGAAACATGTTTCTTTAAAATTAGGAAAATGACTTCTCTAGTGGTAGTAGGGAAAACAAGTTCAATAATTGACATTCCAAGCACGTTGTCTCCTCCCCAATCGCACCCACACCCTGCCACTGCACCCCGACCCACGCCTCACCCCATCCCACCACAAATGTTTTTCTAGATCACTTATGAATAGTCTTGAGACTATGTTTTGCTTACTTACCAAACACCAAATAATAATAAGAAAATCACTTATTTTTCAAAACTAACATTTTCCTTCCTACCAATCACAACCTTAAGAGCAATTTGTAAATGTCAAAATTAAAGAAATGTGTCAATATTGTTATTATTATTATATTTTTTTGATAACCGTTGTATCCGTACCAACTTATGCGCACCTCGACTAACTCCACGGGATACCTCCCACCACCGAGTACCAGGTAATAGTGAATTGTCTCTTATCTCCTTTCCAGACTAGAGAATCTGGTTATCTGTCTGAGATGTATGCATTCTGATATGAATGGTATTTGTGCTAAGTTTTCTTTTTCCCATTTAAAAAACAATTCCTCCTTAGCCCTAAATTTCATCCTTCACTCCTCCTGAATGCAATAGTTGCCTCTTGGTAACCATGCCAAAAACTTTGGGGAAGGCCTGCCTCATGATCTAACCACTGGTCAGTCCATGTTCAGTTTTTTTGCCAACACTTCTTCTGGTGTCTATTATTGTTCTTCCTTAGAGATACACCAAATGGCCCAGCTGTTTGTTTATTGCACCATGGTCCATCGAACGTTGTGTGGATAACTTTTTTCCTCAAAGTCGGTTCTTCCACATTGAATTCCTTTAGCAATTTGAAGAGTAAGTTTTTGTTATGCCTCCTCAGGTCTCTAATTCTCAGCCCTCCCCACTTTTAAGTGTGTAGCCTTGCATTACACAAAGTCGGTCCTTCCACATTGAATTCCTGTGGCAAGTTGAAGAGTAAGTTTTTTTTATGCCTCCTTAGGTCTCTAATTCTCAGCCCTCCCCACTTTTAAGAGTGTGTAGCCTTGCATTATCTCAGTAAGTGTAATCTATGGCTCTCGGAATCACTTTCCTTTAAGTCCCTTCTTATTATATTATATTATATCCAGTTGTATCCCTGCCTTCGAGGTAATGAATGTCATGGCATATAATAAGTTGCACTCCCATCGAATACACTATTTATGAGGGTGAGTCTATCCCAAAAATAAAGATATTGCGTTTCTCGTTAAGCGACTCTTTTTTTCTCATTTGCCATCATATTCTGTCATACACCAGTCTGTCTGTGGTTATGTTTAGCTCCAAGGAGAAGACCCTCAAGTACATAGGAGGAATATTTCCACTGTTATATCCCAGTTTTCTTTCTTATGACTCCATGTTTCTCACGTTGTTAAAAAAAAACTGCTTTGTGCTAAATTGACATGAAACTCTAGACACAGCTTCAAAATTTAACATAATTACTTTCAAGTACCTAATTTGTGATCCTCTGCACCAGAGAATACCACGGTATCATCTGCATATAGCATGTGCAATACCTCAATCATCTTCTGTCTTTCAGTACCACTTAAAGGTCGTTGATCAATTTCCTTTTTAACCTGCCTATAATCATTCTACCTAGAAAAAAGGCATGAAGGTAAAGTGTGCTCTTGCCTTAATCCTTTTTGTAGCCAGAAGTAGTCTATAGGGAGCCCCATTGATTAGGATCGAGAACCTGAGTGTAGTGCTATGAATCATTGGAACCAGTCATCTCCAAATCCCAGCTGTCATGAAATTGGCCAAAGGTCCACTTAACACTGTCAAATGATTTCTCCAGGTCTAGTTTGCAAATGACTCCTGTTTCCCTGTGCTTGTGCCTAGTAACCAACCATTCATTGGCACCTAGTGCTGCTTCCATAATCTGTCTCCCCTGCGAAATGCATTTTTATATTCAGTGATTTGTTTCCTGGTCACCCCTTGCATTCTTCATTGAGAATACTGCAATAGTTTTGTATATGCTACTCAAAGGACTGATAGATCAAAATTCTTCTGACAAAATATCTCCATTCTTTTTAGGGAAGAGTGTTATATGAAGATATTATTTAGGTTATTCATAAATATTCCTTCTATTTAGAAATATTCAAAGGTGTCCATTATGTCTCCTTTTTGAAGGACCAACATCTCTGGTAAAAAGCTATGGTATATTTGTCAGGTCCCAGGGACCTTATCCTCAGCATTATCTTTTGTGACACTGAATACTTTCTCATCTGTAAAATGTTCTGCTAGCCGTTTGATACTATAGAGTTGTAGAGGAAACTAATACCTCTCAACTTGCTCATGCTTCAGTTTGGAGCAAGTGTTAAATAATCGAGTCAGCTGCATATATTTCATTTTTGATTGATGTAATCATTTATGTCAACTATTGTGAAGAGATAATTATTCACGTCAACTGCAATGATGTAACCATTTATGTCAATTACTATGAACAATAATTTAATTGATGTAACTAAATTGAGTCAAGAGTACAGAAGAGTTTGAATGTAGGAAAGGGAAGGAGACTAGAGAGAGTCTTCCTAACAGCTAAAGAAAAGATGTGAGGAACGAAAAAAGATAAAATTGAACATAGGTATAGGTTGGGAGATCTAGACTAATAGGTCATTAGCTTGACTGGGTTAGTGTGTATAGGGAGGGGTTTCACTTGTGCGGCATGTGAGGTGAGTGTGACAGGGTGAGATCATCTCTTCAAAGATAAAATCAAACCCTGCCATTCCCCCATTGCTGTCCCTAACAAAGTGTCTCTTACGTTGTGCACCATACTGCGTTATTTGATAATAAAGGAAGAATATCAAAGAATTGAAGAACATGTAATTGAACATTGGAGCATGGCTAAATGTTTTAGGGCTCACTCCAAAATTGCTATTCTTAGGACAAAGATATTATGTTAACTCTTTAAGGGAGCATGATGTCATACAAAAAGAAATATGTTTGCTAAGATCTCAATTGGTCATGTACACTAGAAACAGAGCCTTCTGGAAAATGCTCTCTCGAATTTGACTCAACGATCTTTGGTAACATCAGACTGAAGGTGGTCTCATTTTGGATATTCCATAATGATATATACAAGGACCCAGGAGAAATGTAACATCTAAATTCATTACTGCATTCTTGTTTACCTCTGAAATTCGGAGTAACAAGACTTCTCTTGATTCTGTAAGACATTTATAAGAAACTTGGACAACTAAATAGTAAGTACCAACAGAATTGACTTTTTCATGATGTTGTTCTTCCCTTTTTATCACAAGTTTTGGTATTAGCTGTTTGACACATTATGCAAATCTTTTCTAGTGCAGTGAACAATCATGAGCGTCTGCAGCAAATGTATATCGGAGCAACCACTTGAATGCTATCAGTTTCGAGCTTGTAATGTTGAGCTACATGCTGTAGTATCTTAAAGAGACCAGTTATCTCTGCCCTTTCCTCCCTATTCCGTTTTCCTGTTCTGCTGCTATATCAGTAGATATTTATTTGTACAGTTGCGTAGAGCTAGTCACGGTATAGTCTTCTGGCTATGAAGTCAGAAGCAGCAAAATTGTGGCAATATGGAAAAAAATTACAACAGATGGGTAAGTTTCAAGTTCCCCTATCCAATTCTTTCGACCGAGAGTTTCTTAATCCAAGTTGATGTCTGGAATGGAGTATTGTTATTCAACTGGCAGCTTTCCTAATAGACTTGTGCATATGTTATATGACTCTCTTTCACATAAACCACATTTCATATTCACTATATTCTTCAACTTTTAATCTATAGTTTGATTTTAAATTTTGTTCTTTTCTTGAAAGACACCCTCAATAATTGTCTTATTTGAAAGTCCTTTAATCTAAACAAAGATACAATTTGCTAGTAGTTTTAATAATATTTCATTTTTCAGTTAACATATATAGATTTCATTTTCACCGATCAATTTTGATATTTTTTTGCCATTCAAAGAAGGGGCTATTGCTTGACATGTTTGAAAATAGGTTAAAAAATTGATATTAATTAAAAGAAGGCATGCACGAATTAGAAGTAGTTCTTTAGATGAACTCATAAATCTTGAGTAAAAATAAAAATAGAAAATGCATCAGAAAAAAGTTTGAAAGTATTGAGTAAAAATAAATAAAATAACCAATCTGAACACAATAATATGCAAAAAAAAAAATCCACAATTCGAAAAGGCTAAAATATCTCAATCTAATAAAAACTAAAAAAAATAAATTCATCCATATTACTTTAAAAATAAAATAAAATAACCAATAACTTTTTGTTTTCCTAATAAGAAAAAAAGATTGATGTAATTGGTGAGTGGAATGAATATAAAAGTGCTTAGTCTGGTAGAGTAGAAAAACAGCGTCAATATGTCCGAGTGGTTAAGGAGACAGACTCGAAATCTGTTGGGCTTTGCCTGCGCAGGTTCGAATCCTGCTGTTGACGTTTTTTTATTTTTGTTTTTTTAACTCTCTATGTTTTTTTTTTATAGAATTAGCAATGAATTTTACGGTTTAACTACGCGGTGATTATTTTTTTTTAAAAAAAGGTCAATAATATCACTATCAGATAATATATGAGATTATGTTTTAGTTGACATTCTATGTTAATCTTTCAAATGAAGAATATATGTCTATGCCAAGAAAAAGAAAGGCTCTTCTTGATCCAATCCTTAAGAGGAACATATTCTAACCATTTATGTAGATAAGAGAGGAACAAAATTATTTGATGAAAGGAACAATACAATTGGTCAAAACATTTGAAATTTAGCAAGAATAATATTTTTCATAACTATAAATACTGAACCAAGATGCATAAATAATCAAACAAAGAAAAACTAAAGTTAGGAGGAGAGGCCTTACATGAATTAGAAGAGTTTCTATTTGTTTAGTAGCCAAGGATGACTTGCCTTTCATCAATGCCTTTTGTAAAATGGAAATTGATTACAACACTTTCTATGGTATTGGGAAAATGAGTGGCAAGCATCTTTGGCGACTTGACAAACTCTTCTTTGTCATGTTAGTCCATCTTCTTCCTCTATACACTCACCACAAAATATGAAATTAGCAACGAAATTTATTGATAATTCATCGATAAAAAGCTTTAATCAGTTCAATTTCCTCATAATTCGTCATTAATACGTAGATAAATAAGATTAATATGAAATTTTCATTGTTTAGCTATGAAAATTTATAATTCCATATTTTCTAGTGGTGTGATCTCCCATATATATATATATATACATATTAGTTACAGTCACCAGTGCTATGCACGGCTCAATAATATTATTGTTTATAGTTGGGTGGATATGTTTTTGGAAAATAATTATTGATTTTAGTGATATTTTTATTATATATATAACTATAATTTTATAGCAATATATAATAATACTATGATAAATGTGCTATATATTAAAGTGAATTATGCATATAATATAAATGTATCATAAATTTTAAAATATGAGTATTACAAATATACACACCTTTTCTTTCACTTATTTCCATTATCCCCTATTACTTTAAAAAATCTCCAAGATTTCTTATTTCTTTAATGTATCTGAGTTGCATATCAATATATTTGAACCAGTATTTAACGTATCCGAGCTACATATTATGTATCTAGGCTAGTTTTTAATGTATTCGAGCCAGAATTTAATGTATTTGAGCTACAACATTAATGTATCCGAACTTCAATTATTATATCCGATTTGTTTAATTTTTTAAGAATTAATATAATTAGAAACTTACGAGGGATATATAGATTGTAATTTTATATTAAAACTATGGAATATGTAACTTACACATATTTGTTTGGTATGAAATTAAAAGTGAGATACTAAACAAAATATAAGTTACTTTTTGAATTCAAAATATAATGTAAAAGTTAGTTTTGAGTTTTCATGAATAAAAAATATTACTCCATCTATTTTAATTTATGTGATATATTTTGTTTTTTAAGAGTCAAACAATGTATAGAATAATAAGTTGTTTAGGCTCTGCATGAATCTAATTTTTTTAGTTTTTATTAGATTGAGATATTTTAGCCTTTTCGAATTGTGGATTTTTTTTTGCATATTATTGTGTTCATATTGGTTATCTATTTATTTTTACTCAATACTTTCAAACTTTTTTCTGATGCATTTTCTATTTTTATTTTTACTCGAGATTTATGAGTTCATCTAAAGATTCATCCCGAGATTTTTATTTTTACTCGAGATTTTTGAGTTTTCATGAATAAAATTAATTACTCCCTCTATTTAAATTTTATGTGATATATTTCGTTTTTCGAGATTCATCCCGAGCCTAAACAAAATTAGAGTCAAACATGTTCAATTTTTTTACAATGAAATTTATATATATTTATGAACTACATAAAAAGTACTATAAGTTATAATTGATAATCAAAAAACTTAAAAAATATATGAAAAATTTATAATGCAAAATAGACTTATTTAAATTTCAAAATTTCAAATGTATAAGAAAAGAAACAACAAAATAGCAAAAAACAAAACCATCTTTGTAACTATATCTATATATATGTATATATATTAAAAAGAATATATAAGCTAAGTAATAACAACAATTAATAACACATCAAGTGTAATTTCACAAATATGATTTGAGCAATGTGGAATGTACACCATCCTTGTCCCAACCTTTTTGAGGTAGAAAGTGTTTTCAATGGACCTTCAACACACAGAAAAAATTCAACACAGAATTATAAGAAAAATGATAAACAAAAATAGCAAGATATAAAATAATCTCTATACCTATATTGGTTATTAAATTTGGCGTAGTAAAGTTATTAAATGTATGTATTTTTGTGTAAAAATAAATTAATGAAGTGGTGAAATATACGCAATAAAACAAAGTTCTTGTATAATAATGGAGAACATAGGCTACTTTGTAAATTCAATTAAGAGGAAACAAGGAAATGCAGCAAACATCCTTAACTAAAACATAAAACGCATTGAAACACGATTAATACATAAAATTTGAAATTTTAAAATATGTACGGTCCAACATAAAAATTACGTTATGTTTCTCAATTTATAATATCGGGTAATTTTAAATGGTCAGAAATTTAAAAAGTCTATAATATCTTTTTTTATTAATTAATCTTTTTTCTATTTTTAATTAAAAGGTAGTAAAGTTAAAAGGGTAGGATGTTATAACCATGTTACTTATGGTCGCCCATTTTGTGCACGACCCAATAATATTAATGTTTATAGTTGGGCGAATATTTTTTAGAAAAATAATTATTAATTTTAGTGATTATAAATATATGAAACTATAACTTATAGCAATATATAACAATACTATGATGGATATGTTATAGACTAAAGTAAATTATGCATATAATGTAAATGTATTAGAGTTTTAAAAATATATTATATTTGTTTGGTATGAAAATAAAAGTGAGCTAACAAACAAACTATAAGTTATTTTATAAATTTGAAATATAACATAAAATTAGTTTTGAATTTCATCAATAAAACATAAATTTTCAAATAAAATGAATTACTCCTTTGTTTCAATTCATGTGATACATTTTGTTTTTTGAGAGCAAACAATTTAAGTTTGATCAAGAATTCATGCATGACATCTTCAATCTTTTTTTAAATGAAATTTATATATATTTATGAACTACATAAAAAGTATTATAAGTTATGATAATCGATAATCAAAAAAGTTAT